CAGGCTCCTGCAGACCTGCCACTGCTCCTCGGGACTGCCTGAGGCGGGGTTACTAAGTGAAGACGGCACCTCCAGGCTTCTGGTCCCCTGTGTGCTGTGCTAATTATGCCCACCTTTGGTTAAGTGGATAGTAATTAGAAATATCATTATTGAAACCAGCTTTTAAACCTCTCTGTGAGGCTGACCTGCCTTAACACAACACATGGATACCGCTTTACCATTTCAGGGGCACTTCCGTCTGGCCCTCTGAACTGAGCCCCAGTATCTGGAGGCCCAGTGCCAGAAGAACTTGGGGTGTTCTGAATCCCTGATCTTGCTTTGCTTGGGGAGAGATAAACTTCATTTCCCTAACACATTTCTAAGGGGGCATTTCCGGTTAGTTTATTTCCAGGCAGACTATGTTTTATTGTGATGTGTTCATCCAGGGAGAAAACACGTCACTAAGCCGGCCCACAGGAGCTGGATGGTGGGAGCTTTAGGATTGGGGTGTAGGGGTTCTACAGCCCCTTGGGAAAACACCTGTGGGTTGGGACTCTGTGAACCCCAAGATATAATAATCAAAGTTCACATATTTATAATGTTTTTAAGGAGAGAAGGTCTGTAACCTCCATTTTATCATCAAAAAGTTTTATAACCCATAAAGGTCAAAGACGACTGCCCTGAACAGGCTGACACCTGAGACTCTGGAGGCCGGGAGGTAGCCATGAGTCCCCTTTGGGCAGGGAGTGGTCTGCCTCGCCCACCTTGTTCCGCCTGTGCCCCTCCCCCACGTGTTCTCCTGCCACCTCTCCAGAGGGTCTAGTTTCCCCTTCGGGTCCCCCCCTTCTACCTCCCTGACATAATATTTGTAGGCCATAAAGGGCACCACTAGCCACCTTCCGAGAGCAGGAGCGTGTGCCCACAGGATGCTGCGTCTCTTCTCCCCTCTCTACTCATCTTCTCTGATCCTGCTTTCCTATGTTGCCCCACCTCTTATCTTCCCCCAGAATTAAATTCTGAAGGAGAAAATATTGTTTATCTAGAAATCAGGTTTTGGTGTTTCACAGACACACCCACAGCGAGTGCCAGAGGACTGAGGCTGTGACAAGGCCATAGAATTCTCTCTCGCTATCTGGCGTCAGGCCCGAGGAGCCGCACGGCTGTCTGGTGGGAGTGGGTGGCCGCTGCCCTGACTCTGGCGGGTTGTTCTTCCTGTTTTGCAGATCATCCAGTCCCTCGATGGGGATTAACGGCGGACCACCTGTTTGTGTCACCCTCCCACCTCTCTGTCGAAAGAACTTCAGCACCGCTCCAATAATAATGATGAAACTGGTATTAACTGAATGGCACTTATGGATTTTTAACTCTAATTCACAGTAAACCAGCAAGCCATATGTTTAAAATCCAACCAAAAAAATCGTTGTTTTGCTGCATGTCTCATACGATTGTGAGAAGTCGTGAGATCCCTGTTTGTACAAAGAGGAATATAAGTATTACTTGCCTGAGGAACACAGAAGACGTCTTAATTTATCATTAAAGATATATGATAGTATTATTTATATAGATAGAATAAATATATATAAATATATATTTTTGGTGGTAATGAAAATGGCTCCGCAGAATGCCGACTCAGAATCTATGCAAGTTCAAGAGTTACCTGTGCCCCTGCCGGACCTGCAGAAGCCTGGAGAGTCAGAGGCCGAGAACCACGACGAGACCCTCAGCGAGGGCTCCATAGACCGAATCCCCACGCGCCTGTGGGTGATGCACGGGGCGGTGATGTTTGGCAGGGAGTTCTGTTATGCCATGGAGACAGCTCTGGTCACCCCCATCCTGCTGCAGATTGGTAAGTGCGGCAGCCAGTGGTAAGCCCAGTGCCAGCCAGTAAGCTTGGCCTTGGTCGTGTGGTATGAGGCAGGACAGTGTACTTGGACCCTGGGACACAGAAGTCCTTGTCCTCTCCCCCTTATACCCTCCTCTGATGACAGTTTTTTCCTGCTTTAAGCTGGGGTCAGAAAGGAACAATCCTTGGGAGTTTGACAGTAAATTGTGGTTTTGGCAAAGTGCTGGTTGAGGTCTGCAGCCAGATTGGCATAGTAAATACTGACTATTGGCGTGTCCCCTCCTCCCCCCACCCCGAGGCACCCAGCACGTGTGATGAACCACGAGTGAAGGACACAGCCACTAGCAGTGACAGTTGCTGGCCATGTCAGCCTGGGCAGGTTAGGGAGCCTCCCTGGCCCTCAGGTTCCCTGTCTGTAAAATGAGCATGTTCACAGCTCACGCTCAGAACGGCATCTGGCCATGCATGGGAAGCACCAATGTGGATTTCTTTGCCATCTTATCACCTGAGTTTATCGTGCACTTTAGATGGCCAGGTGGCAGGTTCAGAACTGAGAGACACGTGCAGGTAGACAGGACCAACTTAGCATGTGAGTGATGCTGGTGTCCCTTCCATGTTGATACTAGGGGATCCCCTAGACCCTGGAAGTTTTGTCAGAGTGTTTAATTTTCCCTGTGGTCTAAGAAGTCTTAAAGTCTTAAGTTTTCCAACCCCATGAGAGGGTAAAGGGGCAAATAATTTAAAAGCATCAGTTTTATTCTAGAATTCCACATTTTATGACTTAAAGTGTTTTTGAATCTACTTGATAGTTTTAAGGGTGTTTCTTGCCACAAACATAATAAAATTTTCCTTACTTAGCCCCTGTGCTGCAGAGTTGAGGTCCAAGATAAAAAGGTGGCATTTCCTTCCATTAGCAGTGGGGCAGCAGCCGGGAGCACAGGTGTCTCATCCTGGCACGATGGGAGCAGGTATCTGCAATTAATGCTGATGCTCAGTGTTATTTCAAAAATCACAGTCATGGCCACATCCACCCTGGGTGTTGGCCCTTAATACGTTAATAAAGAACCACACGTATGACCTTTCCGGTGTTTTGATGATTGTGTACTTTTACCTTCCTAATTCTAGGTATTTTAGTTTTCATCTTGAGAAACCTTGCTCTGAGAAGGCCTCACCAGGTGAAGCTAAAAGTCCTTTTCTGGGGGACTGGAGGGCTGTGGGGTACTACCAAGCATAGCTCACTCTCAGTTCTTTTGTCTTTGTGTCTGTCACGTGGGGGTGGGGACACTAGGGGTGGACAGGGCACCACGCCTATGCTGGTGTGGCTTGGCTCAGTGAGGGAGAAAGGGAAGAAAATGAGCTGACCGGCGAACGCCACTTTAAAAGTGCCATGAGAGGTTGAGACACAGACTGTCGGCAGCTGGGCTGGTGAGGGATGGAGAGCGGGGAGAGGGCACTTGGGCAGCATGTCCAGGGCCCCAAGGATGCCTGGTGCGTTCATAGAATGGAAAGACGTAGCAGGGGGGGAAGTTGGGTAGCAAGTAATTCTACCACACATTTGTTTTGTCTGTTGGATGTTTGAGGACTTGGCACCAGCCGTCATGGCAGCAGTTGTTGTGATGAAGCTGAGGTGGCTAGGGTGACAGACCGCCTGCTACCCTTCGTTCATACCGCCTCTTAGGCCAGGGGACAAAGGCACAGTTCAGAGACTCGCTGAGAAATGGATTGACAGGGTAAAGAGATGTCAGGATTTGCTACTCCTGAACTCTCTTAGTGGTGGGTTTTCAGGATCACAGCCTTACAAACCCACACGCCTACACAGTGCCTTGGAATTCTCATATATTATGTGTTGTCTTGATTCTATTTAACTCCTAGCACATTTCATTGTTTGGTTTTGAGTGTTTAATATGTAAGATTTGTATTGATTTTAGATAATTTAGGATAATAAATAAATGTGGTGTTGTCCCAGTAAACTCATTGTAAGTTGGAAATACCCTAAGTTGAAAATGCATAGTAAGCTCAACCTACTAGATGGTGTTGCCCAGGCTGGCCTGCCTTAAATGGGCTCAGAGCACTTAAATTGGCAAATAGGTTGGCAAATCTTAACACAAGGCCAATTTATGATTAAATGTTGAATAGCTCATGTACTTTATCACATATTGTAATGAAAGTGAGTAACAGAATGGTTGCATTGTACTTGAAGTACGGTTTCTACTGGGTACACATGGCTTCACACCATTGTAATGGTGAAGAATCTTAAGTTGGAACCGTCCTAAGTCAGGGGACTATCTGGAAATATATGCGATACATACTGTTTATCAAAAGTAGTTTTTCAAAGTTGTAGGTCTGTCTATTCCATATAAGCTTCTAGGGATAAAGCTGAACTTGGCAGAGTTGGCACAAACAGGTGGGCCTTGGCAGACAGCACAGCAGAGCACTCACTGACCCCATGCACTGCACAGCTTGTGTCTTCACCCCAGCAGCCTCCTGAAGGCCCCTCACATGAGCCACTGCCCCTCCCCTAGCCTGCCTTGCTCATCACACTGCTGCCTATTCTGGAACTGATGCAAGGGGGCCCTCACTGCCAATAGTCAGCACCTCTGCCACTTGGTGTGACACTTTTTCGGGGTGATTCATCCATTTTGCTGCATGAGCCAGTTCTTAATTCCTTTCATTTCATTTCATTTCTTTTCAGAAATGGGGTCTTGCTCTGTCACCCATGCTGTTGTGCAGTAGCATGACCATAGTTCATGGCAGCTTCAGCCGCCATCTTTTCAGTATATATGGGTCTCTAAGTATTTAATTGTATCATGCTTTTGTAAGTAATACTGTTTAGATTTCTGATTGTTCATCACTGTATAGAGCAGGCGTCCTCAAACTACAGCCCAAGGGCCGCATGCAGCCCACCTAGGACATTTATCCCGCCCACCGGGTGTTTTTGCTGCTGCTGCCTGTACTGCTTAGCAGCCGACTCGTCCTGGGGCCTGCAGTCCAGCCCTCCAACAGTCTGAGGGACAGTGAACCGGCCTCCTGTTTAAGAAGTTTGAGGACCCCTGGTCTAGAGTAATAGAAGTGACTTTTATGCATTGGCCTTGTATCATGCAGTCTTCTTCTTCTTCTTCTTCTTCTTCTTTTTTTTTTTTGGAGACAGAGCCTCAAACTATCCCCCTGGGTAGAGTGCTGTGGCATCACAGCTCACAGCAGCCTCTTACTCCTGGGCTCAAGTGAGTCTCCTGCCTTAGCCTCCCAAGTAGCTGGGACCACAGGCGCCCACCATAATACCTGACTTTTTTTTTTTTTTTTGCTTGCAGCTGTCATTGTTTTGGTGGGCCTGGGCTGGATTCAAACCTGCCACCGCAGATATATGTGGCTTGAGCCACAGGCGCCGAGCCCATGTGGTCTTTTTAAGCTCACTTAGTAGTGGTAGTGATTTTTAACGTCTGTGAGATCTGTAGTGATGTTTCCTCTTTTCTGATATTGATAATTGGTCTTGATCAGTCTGGTCAAAGGTTTGTCAATGTTATTGATCTTTTGAAAAGACTCAGCTTTTGATTCCATTGATTTTTCTCTATTGTCCATTTCCTGTTTTATTAATTTACACTCTTAAATATTTTTTATTTTGTTTACTTTGGTTTTAATTTCTTATTTTAGTTTCTTTTATTTGTTTTCTTATTCAGAAAGAGAGCTTTTCTGTCACCCAGACATTAGTGCAGTGATGTCTTCGAAGCTCAACTGTGACCTTGAACTCCTGGGTTTTTTTTTTGTTTTGTTTTGTTTTTTTGAGACAGAGTCTCACTTATTGAGCCTCAGTAGAGTGCAGTGGCGTCACAGCTCACAACAACCTCCAACTCCTTGGGCTTAGGCAATTCTCTTGCCTCAGCCTCCCAGGTAGCTAGGACTACAGGTGCCCGCCACAACGCCCGGCTATTTTTTTGTTGCAGTTTGGCTGGGGCTGAGTTTGAACCCACCAACCTCAGTATATGGGGTTGGCGCCCTACTCACTGAGCCACAGGCACTGCCCTGAACTCCTGGGTTTAAGTGATCCTCCTGCCTCAGCCTCCTGAGTAGCTGGGACTACTGGTATGTGCTAATTGTAATTGTTTTTGTAGAGACAGAGGTCTCACTATGTTGCCCAGGCTGGCCTTTAACTCCAGGCCTCAAGCCATCCTCCTGCTTCAGTGTTCTGGAGTGCTGGGACTGCAGGTATGAGCCACCATGCCCGTCCTGGCCTCTTTAGTTTCTTACGGTTGAGCTTACAGCATTATTGTTTATACTTTTCTTTCCTAATGAAGTAATTTCTAATAAATGATTTTGTTTCTAATAATAGATACTATTACACAGAGGGGCCAGAGCAGAGTATGAGCAGAACTCAAGAGCCCTCTGGGCTGCCTGCTATGATCAACAGCCTCAGATTGACATTGACTCCTGTGGCAGCTGTGCTCTGGCAGTGGTGGGGAGCACCAGTGCCAGGCCCAGTGCATCGAGGTCCTCTGCAGGCCCTGGCAGTCTGTAAGTGAGGGCAGGATCACCGAGCTGTTTAACAGATGTATAAATGTGGCTCAGCAGCACGGCAGTGCAGCTTCCAGCTGTTAATCTGGGGCACCAGCCATCGGAACCCGAGCAGCCAACAGCTCACGTAGCTCTTGATTCTCTGGAGAACCTCAAGTTCTCTGGCCCAGGCTTGGCGCCTGTGGCTTAAGTGGCTAAGGTGCCAGCCACATACACCTAAGGTGGTGGGTTCGAATCCAGCCCAGGCCGGCCAAACAACAACGATGGCTGCAACCAAAAAATAGCGGGGCATTGTGGCGGGCGCCTGTGGTCCCAGCTACTTGGGAGGCAGAGGTAGGAGACTCGCATGAGCCCAGGAGTCGGAGGTTGCTGTGAGCAGTGAAGCCATAGCACTCTACCCAGGGGGACAGCTTGAGGCTCTGTCTCAAAAAAGAAAAAAAAAGTTCTCTGGCCCAGGCACTATCTATCCCCCATTACTGATACTGGAGTGTTATGTT